TTCTTTCTTGTTTTGTTTTGTTTTTTAAATAGCAATGCTTATTTTTGTTCCATGGAAGTATTTAATCATGTTTTTTAATTAAATAATAAATAATTCGCATAATTTCCAGAAACATTACTATAAAAAAGAGAAAACATTGGCCTTTTAAAATGTTTTATAGAGCCAATAAACAGTTTAATTAAAGCCTTTATGTTTGTCCTAAATACATGCTTTTATAACCCATACACCCTCAAGGTGCAGTCAGAGGAACGCCAGTCAATCGGAGCTACAGTCAATGTCATCTTTTGATCCATTTACTGTAACAGGAAATTAATTTGATTTAACCTTGGGAATTCACTTCCTTCCATCCCAGAACACTCGTTAGAATAAGAATTGGAAAAAGCTCATGCCTTGTGCTGCCTGTACTGAAATGTCTGACTGTGTGACTGAGTAATGTGCTATTCCCGCAACGGCGTTGACTCACTCAGAAGCCCTATCTGTGTGGGCAGCGTAGGAATAACGTTCCACTCTGTGTAAATCCTCCTCTGATAACCAAAAACTACCAGCTGTGCTAGTAGTCCTGACAAGCTTGTAAGCAGTGAGAAATCAACCTCTTTTATCTTGTTTACTCAAACGAGGGCAAATGAGCGTCGTTTGTAAGCGTGAGAGTGAATAATTAATCTTTGTTCTTCCGAAGTTCTGCAATTGCCCATATCCAATCATCTCTGATGTCGAATTTGAAATGGTGAATGTGAGAAAATTTGACTCTAGCATCCACTGATCAGGATCTGCATCTTATAATTACATCTTGAATGACTTATATACACCATCTCCTCACTGTGAGCCGGAAAAATCATTTTCAGCATTTTAGCTGGGAGCCCATTTAGTCCTTTTTTAAAACTAATTGCAGACATGTAAAGAGCTTTAAAATGCTTTCACCCTACCTGGATCCTGAACTTTAGATGTTCCATTCACAATGGCACCAAATGTTCAGATTCATGTGGGCTCCGGATATTGCAGAGAGACTGTTATATAACTGAACCATTTGGACTGTGAACACTAAAGGACTTTTGCTTCAAGTTTACTGTGATGCATATCTACTGATCCTCAACATATTGAGGATACATTTTATTTAAACTCTTGCAAATAATGCAATGTATCAAACAGACAATGCTCAATCCCTGCTTCCCTAACTGAACAGCATCTTCGCTCAACCAAAAAACCTGTTTGATGATGAAAGACTGTTTACTCTTTAAGGAAGCTGATTACTTGGAAAGAGGTTAGGATAGTTGGGATTTTGACGTTAAAACAACGGAACTGCCGCATGTAACCATGTCAATAATTCAAAAGTGCATTTTTGGTGTTTTGTCTCTTGTTTGAGGAACTACATGCAAAAAAAATGTTCACAGTCACATCTATTCTATTAGTGGTTTATTTAGACACAATATTTTGTGTCTCGGACCTGTGTCTGTCCATTTTGCATTTTCATTGTATAATTCAGAATGTGGCCAGCTGAATTCTGGCTAATGTATTTAGCGGCTCAGAACATAGAGGCATCATCATCATTTCTCCTTGGCATTGGACACAGAGCAATGTACTCATTCGCTAAAAATAACTTCTGTGGCTTGTGGAGTACTAATTTAAGACTCATATATAATCTAGTATACTGATAAACAATGGTGAGAATGCACGGAAGAAACTATTTTGTCTGACATATTTCAAACGAACAATAATGAATACAATCCAACTGCAATCATATAAGAAATTGCGCTTCTTTAGATCAAATAAAAATCTTCTAAATACATCCATGCCTTTAAAAATAAGCATCATCAAGCTCATTTAGGTTCATTTTAAATTGATCTACAACAAGCAATTCATTAGCCAGAAGTTGCCAAATGAACCTAAACTGTTTCTTTGCACAAATGTAGGGGACCAGTGTCTAATCAGCATGTGAGTATGAAAATATAACCATATAAAAATATTTACAGTACATAAATTGCTTACCACAAGAAAAGAATGCAATTTGTTCATACAAACACAACAATATAGCATATAACAGAATATGTAGCTCACTAAACAAAGACTCGAACATCTGGATAGGTAGGTAGGTCACTTGCGAGAAAATTAGGGCAGCCAGCTTGAATTTAAGTGAGTCACAATGCCTCAAAATAGAGGGATTAAAACAATTTGGTGGGGTGGTATGATATACAAACAGCAGACAGAGAGATCTCCACCAGTTCTAAGTAAAAGCAGCGTTTCATTTGCATTATAGACCCTGAAACGTCTAGATCGACATAATATTAGTGCAGAGAAGCTGTCTGGCATTCAAGACAAGCTTGCAAAATCAGCCCACACGCAAGCCGAGAAATAAATATATAAGAATCCAGAGTGGACATTTTGTTCAAATACAAATCAACATCCATTAATGCTTGGTGGCCTATATCGAAATTTCAATCTAATCTGGCATTATTCGAGTAAAACACACTGGAGATAAAATTTAAAGATTTACCGCATTATGTGTCTGTGTCTGTCCAACTAGGATCAGGATGTTGGAGCAGATGATTGAAAGGCAGAAATTGATCAGAATGATTGATCTCTCCGACCTGATGTACCTGAAAACAAATTGTTCATTAAAGCTGCATTCCTCCAAAAGTGCAAAGTGCATTATTTGTAATATCTCTTGTACTTCCATGCACTTACCTCCATAGAACAGCATACACCACGGACAGAGTGATCAAGGCCAGGCAGGAAAGACCACAGCCTACTATTAGTGTCACAGATGGAACCCCTGAGTACTCCATAGCCTGTGAATGGCACGCAAGAGCTTCAGTGAGCGATTTTCAAACCCTTGTACCACTAATAAAAGCCCATTTCAGTGCCTGGTAATAAAGCACATTACAGGATGCTTGCTTATTGCAGCAAGGCCATTTATACTGCCCAAATTTAGAGGATTAAAGGACAAGCTTTTTTTGGGGGGGGGTCTGTAATTCATTTCCCCCCCATTCAATCTCCCCTTCACATGAATAAAATGTATTTAGCCTCCATTCAAATGCACAGTGCTTATTATCAACAGGTCGGTGCTTAATGCCACGAAGCACAATTGACTCAAATACATAATCTCTTTTAAAGCAAGTCAGACTATTCAGAGATCATCTTTGTAATGCCCCGGGCAGGTATTTCCAGACATGCTTCTTGAATTGGAAAACATGGAAATCTCCAAAACTGAATGTTAATGTTATATTCTAATTAAAAAATTAAATATGATAACAATGCTGCCATAAATTCATCATGCAAAATAATGGTATTATTAATGCACACTCAAGAGTGAACAAAGAGGCAATGCTTCTATGAAAAAGGTGATTGGGTATTTTAACTGTAGGGCGGGCCTTTCATTTGTCTATCAAAAATGTAATTGGGTCCAACTAAGTTTTAACTTTTGAGGACATACTGAGCGTTACAATTTTTCATATACATTTTTTATATGACTGGACTGTTCCAGTGCTTATAATGTCTCTTGTTCTGTAGTTTAAATGACTGTGGGGGAATCAATGGATGTTGACCATCATTTTGAACACAATTTAGAATTCGTATTTCATCAGAATACATATGGCTACCTATCATTTTAAATTGTTGCTTGTATTAGTTGCACAGGCCTCAACTAAGCCCTCACAATGCACATCCAGTCCATTTATTTATGACTTTTCCCCCTGAATTCCATCTGACAACCCCCCTCAATCCAGTTCCCAGGAGTCACAAGTCATTGTGACATATCAGCCGTGCATTGCAATGATAGGAGTTATCAAACTTTGCCCCTGCTGCATCACTGAGATGCAGACAACACCATCATTTTCACACGGGAGCCATTTATTCACTGACTGGTCACATGGGCAGAGAAAAAATGGCTGCCTCTTACTCTGTATGGTAAAACAGCCATGTTTTGCTGTCTACTGAATCCACTAGTAAAGAGACCACAGCTGATGGCTGATGGCAAAGCATATATAAATGCTTCGAGCAATATATAGCAAAGGCAAAAGAAAGATTAATATTATACATTAATCTAAGATAGTGAACTGTAATAGAGGAGGAAGCCATTATTACATAATATGAAAGCCATCATTTTTATGCACAATCCTGGTATATCTGCATAATATCTCACCGCTAAGAAGTATTTTATTAATGTAAGTAGCAAATTGAATACTGAAATTGAAGAGGCCAGAGCTGATGCTCCTGCATCTCAAATGTGAACATATACAAATGCGAGCATGTACAAATGCTTTGAGCAACATATAGGAAAGGTAAAATGGAGATTATGATGGTCAGTATTACTTTTTACTTTTATTTAAATAAATATTTAATGGCAATTACTTAAACAGGAGATTGTGAGCTCTCTCTCTCTCTCTCTCTCTCACACACACACACACACAAGCTTTGCACAGGTAGATTTCTATCATAATCAAACATGGCATAATTAAAGTAAATTATTAAACATCCATCTGGATTACAACCCACATTTTAATCAATACAGCATCTCTCGAGATCCCCCGCAGAAGACAATTCCAATACTTACTAATTCTCTGGGTTGTTGAGCCAAAATGGCGAAGGTAGATACCCGATCACATAAGCATTTGGTGTGGGATGCATCGGTGAGCACAGTTCTGCATCCTTTAGAGCTCCAGCTGCCCCAAGAATCGTTCCTACACAACACAGACAAGATTAAATCGCTTTAACAAGCCTTTTCTCTGTGAATCCGTCACTCTAAATCCTCATCACTGCGCTCTCATCTCATCCACTTCACTTCTTACTTAAGCGACAGAAAGTAAACGCAACGCATTTTAGTGCAGATCGTACTGAGTGCGACTGAAGCGCTGAGGCTCTGTGGTGCTGAACGACTCGCTACTCACAGATACACTCACACCACAAACCTGCGATTCCTTTGACGCTTCTCCTCTCGTTTTGCTTCAGCTTTCTCTTATCGTTCTCTATCGATATGTATTTCCACTCGCTTTTCTAATAAGCGCCTTTTGGACGCTTTCCTGAGGGAAAAATTCAGCCTAGAATCGGCGGACGGCATCAGATTGATACTCTCTTGCCTCCTGCTTCGCGCTACAGCAGCGGAGGGGGGGGAGATGCCTCAGAAATAGTCCCCGTTTCGTGTTCGTTCATCCTGATTTCGGCATTTATTCGCGAATATCTTAAGTTTATCCAATTTTATAGCATTTGATTTCACAATATGCTTTTCCCGAGACATAAACGGCAGGGAAAAACGGAGCTTAAACGTTAACCACCCCGTGAAAACGGGCTGGATGGTAGCAGCCAATTTCTCCTTCTCTGGCTAGCAAAATGATAGAATAGACATCTCACCTATTTATTAATCCTTACACATCTCGGCTGATATTGCAGTGGTTACATCTAAAGATCAGGCTGATAGATCTTACTTAACTTAGCTGGATAATAAATGATTTAAGGCAAAAAATAATTAAATAAGCTGATAAACATCATCCAGGTTTGTATTTACTCAGCGTAACTGATTAATGTTTGATAACATTGTTTATCTTGTGTAAAATATTCATATCGAACCTCTGGTATAACAAAATCAGTTAGTCAACAGCTATGAAGTATTATGATTAACCAGTTGAATACAATCACTGTAGTAGCCTATAAAAGCAACACTGAATTATAGTTCCTCCAAAAGATGCATAACAAATACAGCCCTTTTCCCAAGGCTGTATGACATGACATCCTTAGTAACTTTTCCCTGAGGAAGGCTATGAGGATCTCCATAATTAAACCGCAGCAATTGCTCTCTTTTCAAGGTTTAATTAAGCTTTAAACCTCACACTTTTTTATATGCATGGATAACATGCATAATAACTTTCATTTAAAGAGAGTGGCATGCATAATATGATAGCATATCTTTCATATATATTCATATATGAAAATGCATGATTTACATGAAAATTTCATGACATTTCTAAGTACCTGAATGTACATTAACTAATGAACTGTAATGATCCAAAAGCATTTCATGCATAGCAAATGACTCTTGGTTTTGGATCATATTTAGCTCTACGTAGATATGTGTACAACATAAATCAGGCTGGATTGATTCACTCATGGAAGACGGAGTGCGGCCCTGTCCGGTCTAACCGCATCGACAGCAAGCCGATAGCGACTGACTCCAGGTGTTTATTAGGACGTTGTGCAATAGATTGCTGTGGGTTACTGTGTCAGCAAAACAATTTGATTTGATGCACTCAATATGCAGTCAATTCATCTGATCATTGACTGTATGACATTAAAGAAGCAACATTACCTTATCAAAACTATCAAAACAAAACGTTACTTTGGTAATTCCAGTTTGCATGGATTATTTATGGAAGTTTGATATATTTTCTACCAGGGAGAAGGCAATTTTTTTTTCCGTTTAGTTGCATCTGTTCTCTTGTTACCCACTTAGCTTTTCCGGTCTGGGAGGAATTTGAAAGACACACAGTCTGTGGAGGAGTCTGTGGGTGTATGAATTACGCTAGGCTCAAGATAGGCTCGGTTTCTAGGCAATTGTATGAGAAGAGACTAATGATTTTTAATAGCCGAGATGTGGCGCTGTCCATGGTACTGAATCACTACATTTAGGCTAGCAGAATGACACTATAATCAGATTTGAGTACAATTCTGACATTTGAGGATTTGTCTTACTCTTAAGATTATTCAATATACCCTTTATATTTCATATCAATTGCACTGTTTGGATGCCAGGTTACTGGCAGTAATGCACTTAATATAGGAAGCTGTGTGCTTTGAACTTCTGGAACGTTGCAATCAGTGGTCTATTCATGTCTGCTTTGCAGTTATTTTTGGACTGTTTATTTTATACATAAGCCTTGAGTCTAACAATAATACTTTAAAGGCACTTTCATAATGCAACTCACCGTAAACACCTAATTCAATGTCGTATAAAAAAAAAGTAGTAGCACTGTACACCTGACAAAATATAGCACAAAATGCTCATCAACCACACATCTTTAGTCCTTGATTCCAACATCAAGAAAATTATATTTGATAAAAATGCATAAAACAAATTTGTCAACAAACAGCCTCATAGCATATACTGTACATTGAAATCATGCAATAATCTGTTGCATAGCACTAAACATGTTGTTACTTTTAATAATTCCTCCTGATCTCAATTTTCTTCAAGATGTGAACAGATAGAACAAAAAAAAAGAGAGAAAAAAGGCACTTCTTTTGAAGGTACAGTAAATATTCCATAAATGCATGAAACAAATGATCCATAAATGTATGAAACTTTTTAAATTAAATTTTAGCATACATAAAAACAGAACAATTTTTCCACATTTCTACATCCATTTTCAAACATCACTACTTAATTTTAAATGTAATGGCCCTGTTATGTGACAAATTAATTTTTTAAAGAACAAATATTCCATGTACTCTCTCAATTAATGTAAGGTCATAAATGGTCATACTAATTATAAAAAATATACTGATTTAAATTAGTGTTACATTGAGTACTTGTCACTTGCAAGTAAGCTACCCATAAACCAATACAGACTGTTAATGCCACATAAGTTCATCAAAATTTATTCAGATTCTGTGATTCTGTATTTTGTATGTTTTTGCTGGAAAGTCAAGGCCAAGAATTCTGCTACCTATGGAATGAATGAATGAATGAATGAATAAGAAAAGTAGATTTGAATATGAAAAAAGGCACATAAGGCTACTCTTAGTAAAAGAGCTGTAATGGCAAACCAATACAAGACCTTTGCTGTTCCAACCATCACCTCTATCCCTTCTGAATATTTTATGAGGGAAAAAAATGGAGATTCATGCCAAGTGTGGCCCTCCTGTGCTTTTTCATACATGCAAAAATTGATAGAGTTGTAAGTATTCAAGCGAGAATCTGCATGACCAATGCAGAGTTAAGCAACATTTGGCCTTAGCGAGAAAGATTCTGCTTTTAAATCAAGGTAACTTATCATTTTCACAGTGCTGGGGTATATACCACACCTTCCTGATAGCTGCGGAGAAACCGCTCATCAGTTGTGCTGGGATGGGGAAGAAATACTTTGAATCTGATTATATACAAATGCTATCCTGAAGCCATGTTTAGGATAATGTAAGCCATTTAAGTGAACAAAGCTTACATGCAAACAGGATTGTAATGGTGACTTCAGGTATTCACAACACATTTTCCTCCATTTTCTTTTCCGGTTACTCATTACCATAATTGTTTTTTGTAAAACAGTGCCTCTGTGCACCTACTACTTTCTTGCAAAATGAACAAGCTTCATTGTTTTTCCTCACAAATACAGTGTTAATGGCAATCAACAACTGGCATTCAAGTCTACATGAATAAGAAATCCAGTCTAGACAAAGTTTAACCTCAGTTTGTCCTCCAACCTCATGTTTTTCCAAACTTGTATGACTTTCTTGCTTCCTTGAAATGCAAAAAATAAATACAATAGACTATGCCAGCCCTGTTTTCCATTACAATGAAAGGGGAACTAAAGCTTTCAAGTGTCAAAAGGATGCAGAAGCAAAAATGGTTCTTAAAAAATTGTGCTATATTTCAAGTTTTCGGAAGTCATATTATTTCTTTCTGTGAAGAACAAAACAAAATTTAAGTCATTATACACTGATAATCTTCCTCTCCAGTTAGCTATTGACCATAGCAACCGGATAATTGATTCACTGAGTCAAAATCAAGAATTAGATCAGTCTGATTCATGACCAAATAATTCAGACCAATACTGTAAATGGGACTGAACTGAAATAATCCATTGAAAAGATTCAATTTGTTTATGAATCCAAGCTTCTCTCATAAACATGCCTAGGAGATCTAGAAACTAGAAATGTTATATATTTATATAGGAATAATTCACCAAAAATGTAAATTTACTCATGCTTAGACCATTCAAGATGTAGATGAGTTTGTTTCTTCATCAAAACAGATTTGGAGAAATTTAGCATTACATCACTTGCTCAGTGGATCATATGCAGTGAATGGGTGCCGTCAGAATGAGAGTCCAAACAGCTGCTAAAAACAACAATAATCCACATGACTCCAGTCCATCAATTAACATTTTGTAAAGTGAAAATCTATGTGTTTGTAAGAAACAAATCCAGGCACTCTATACCGATTATTGTGATGTTTTTATCAGCTGTTTAAACTCTCATTCTGACGGCACCCATTCACTGCAGAGGATCCATTGGCGAACATGTGATGTAATGCTAAATTTATCCAAATCTGCTCCCATGAAGAAACAAACTCATCTACAATTTGTATGGCCTAAGGGTGAGCAAACTTTCAGC